CCTCTAGCACTTCTCTGCCTAGTTATACTTCTATGACTTCTATGTCCCTCTTTTTCTGTTTCCTCTTTCCTTCCTTTTAAGGCCAATTGTTGGTACCTCCGTCCTCCCGTTTATTTGATCGTCCTTTGGCTCCTTTTCCCCACCCACCACCCGCCTAATCCACCCTCCTACGGATGATCTTTTTTTCATTGTTTTCCCGTTCAACACTGCGGTGCCCTTCTTATTCCCCCCAAACCCTCCCTGTTTTCCTCATTACCACCCCTCCGGCTTCAATACCCTTTTCGCCTCCCCTTCCCACTCCTGGGATGGACCGGACCGAGCCCTCCCGGAGCCCCCCGAGGCCGGGGTACGGCCCCCGCCCGGAGCACCAGGGGCCCGAGGGGTTCTTTAGGCGCCGGACGCTGAAGATGACCGATGCTGGAGGTGAGGGGCCGGGACCCGGGCGGGCGGGAAGCGGGGCTGCGGGGGGACCCCGAGGGGGGCTGGACGGAGTGAGGCGGCGGGGCCTTTCTTCCCCGTCCCTGGGGGGCTGCGCGGAGCCGGGAGCCGGGCTGTCAGGGGGGGGGACGGAGACGGGATGGTGTCCCTAATCCTCTCCCTCCAGCCCGCTGCCGGGATAAATTAATTTAAAAAACTGGCGTGGGAGGAGGGGGAGAGGGCTTAACTCTCTCTTGTCCAACGCCGCGAGGGGCTGATGGATTGGAAAGAAACTGTCCGAGAGGCTCTGATGGGGGGTGGGGGCCCTAGGGGTGCAGTGGGTGCCCTGCCCTCCGCCTCTCCCCCAGCTCCAGCTCCAGCGGCGCCGGGGGCGGGGGGCCGCTTGCCGGACGCCCCAAGCCTGGGCCTATGGGAGAGGGGCTTGGCTTTCTCTGGCTGCACAACTGCCTCCTCCCACCCCAGCCTCCTCTGCCGGCCATTCCTCCAGCCTTTCCCAGTTGCACTTCTCTCTCGGTCCCGTTCTGCTCCTCCTGGGCGCCTTTCCTCCAGCTGCCCGGCTGGGGCCACCCCTCTCCACAGCCCCCCTTGGGCCTCACTCGGGGCTGCCGGTGGCCCTCTCCACCACCGCTCTCCCCAGCCCTGCTGTCTCATCTCCTTCCTTCTCTCTGGGGCTCTGTGGATTGACCCCCGCACCCCAACCGGTCTGTTCCTACTACCCCTTCTCTCTCCGGGCTGTGCCCCTTTCTTTCTCCTTCTCCTTCCCCTGGGTCCCAAGAAGCTTTGAGCTCACCTGGCTCCCAGAAAAGGGTCAAAGGTCATTGGAGCTCCTCTTCCGAGAATTGGAAGGAGCGCCCAGTAGAGTCAGAGCTCAGACTGTGAGCGGAGGGACAGGTTCATCTCTCCCTATGGCAGTTACCTGGTTGAGTGTGTGTGTGTGTGTGTGTGATGGCTCAGTTTGGAATGAGGGGGTTGAGTGGGAGAGGCCCGGTGACCCCCTGGATGTCCTGCTTCCAGAGTAAGGAGGGTCCTCCAGCCACAGGGAGTTGGTGGGCGAAGGGAGGGGAAGAAAGCAGTTTGTGCTGAATCAGGATGGATTGGGCGCAGGTGTGAGCTGGAAGCCCCGCCCTCCCCTGAGGGCACCTGACAGAGGGCTCCTTTCACCAGAGGGTCTCCACCTGGACTGGCCTTGAATAAAGAACACCTGGGCCCCTTGCTTTACTCAGTGGTTAGAGCGGTGGGTTGGGGGTTCGATTCCCAGTCAAGGGCATGTACCTGGTTGCAGGTTCAATCCCTGGCCCAGTTGGTTGGGCTGCTGGAGGGGGAGGCAACCAATTGATGTATCTCTCTCACATCAATATTTCTCTCTCTCTTTCCCCCTCCCTTCCTCTCTCTAAAAATCAATGGAAAAAATATCCTCACTACTCGGGCAAGGATTTAAAAAATTTGAAATCAATAAAAATGTTAAGAAAAGAGCACATGGGATCTCCATGTCAGGTAGTCTGAGGAGTCACCACAGCTTCCCTCAGGGAGCCTCCATTCTTATCTTTTTTTAAATTTACTTTTTCTTTTTAAATCCTCACCCAAGGATATGCTTGTTTGTTTGCTATTGATTTGAGAGAGAGAAAGAAAGAGAAACACCAATGTGAGAGAGAAACATCTATCAGTTGATCAGTGTTTCTCGTATGTACCTGACCGGGGATCGAACCCTCAACCTGAGTATGTATCCTGACCCCGAGTACAACCTATGACCTTTCCTGTGTGGGACAATGCTCCAACCATACTGGCCAGGGCTCCATTCTTTTTTTTAAAAATATATTTTATTGATTTTTTACAGAGAGGAGGGGAGAGAGATAGAGAGTTAGAAACATTGATCAGCTGCCTCCTGTACATCTCCCACTGGGAATGTGCCCACAACCAAGGTACATGCCCTTGACTGGAATCGAACCCTGGACCCTTCAGTCCACAGGCCGACGCTCTATCCACTGAGCCAAACCGGTTTCGGCAGGGCTCCATTCTTATCTTCAGAGCGTCCCTAGTCTGGTGGGGAATACTGCCCCCGCTCCTCAGGGAGCTCCCATTCAGATGTGGGAGAGATATGACCCACTTAGAGAATCAATGAAATATGAAAAATTCCTCACTTCCCAGTGCTTGGGTAAGGGTGGACTTAGAAGTTATGTAGACACATGGGAGGACGGAGGGCTATCTAGGACGGCTTTCTGGAGGAGGTGGCAGCTGTGTGCTGGTCAGATGCAGCTTTGTGATGGAATGAGGAAATGTGGTTTATTCTTAGGGGCAGCTTCCCTGCCCCTCTGGCCCCTCAGGACAGGAAGAGGGGTCCTACAACGTCTTTGCTACTTGCGCCCAGAGTTCAGGAATGGCGGGAGGGTTCTTGGAGGGCCCGTATACCTGGCCTCTTCTGATACCTCATTTCCTGTTTTCAGCCCCAAGCACCCATAGAGCCTGCTTCTCCCAGTTCTAGCCAGTATGGAGCAGCCCCCTTTCCTCTACCTTTCTCCCCTCGGTGTCCTTTCCTTATGAGCATCTTCCAAAACTGCAGATCCTCACCCAGGATAGGGCTGAGGGGCGGGGGTCCCGGGTCAAGGTGACGTTCTGCCAATTATCTCCTGCATCTTGGTTTCCACACCTGTAACGTGGGGATACTAAGCGTCCCAAGCCTGGCTAGCGCTCCGTAAGATGATGTCTCTGTAATAACAGGACAGCTGGGAAAGGCCCCAGGCACGTGACTTAGCTTTCTTACACCTACCACATGTCTGGTCTAACCCAGTGCCTGCCCTTCTCATGCAGACCGGAGTGTTAGAAGTAACTGGAGCCCTAGCCAGTTTGGTTCAGTGGATAGAGCGTCGGCTTGTGGACCAAAGGGTCCCGGGGTTGATTCGGTCAAGGGCATGTACTTTGGTTGTAGGCTCCTCCCCAGCCCAGGCCCTGGTCGGAGCTCATGCAGGAGGAAACCAATGGATGTGTTTCTCTCACATCAATGTTTCTGTCTTCCCCTCTCCCTAAAAATCAATGGAAAAATATCCTGGGGTGAGAATTAAAAAACAAACAAACAAACAAACAAACAAACAAAAAAGAAGTAACTGGAGATCATGGCCCTGGAATGCAGTGTGCCCCTGCCCGAGCTTCCTCGCTCTCCCTTCATCCAGTATTCCCCTACCCCTCTGACACC